ATCTATCTGTCTATCTATCTATCATTCATCTATCTGTCATTTATGTATTTATTGAGAGAAATGGAGATGAAGAGATTTATTGTAAGGTATTGGCTCACATGATTCTGGAAGTTGAGAAGTCCCATGATCTGCCATCTGCAAGATGGAGACCCAGGAAGGCTGATGATGTAGAGAGCCAATGGTTAGAGGCCAGTCTAACTCTGAAGGCCTGAGAACCAAGTGTTCTATGGGCAGGAGAGGATTAATGTGGCAGCTCAATCAACCAGGCAGAAAGCAAATTCAGCCTTCCTCTGCCTTTTTGTTCTGTTCAGGCCCTCAGTAGATTGGTTGATGCCCAGCCACTTCTGGGAGAGCTATCTGCTCTTACTCATTCCACAAATTCAAATGCTGATCTCTTCCGAACACACCCTCACAGACACACCCATAATGTTTCAGAAGCTATCTGGGTATTCCTTGGCCCAGTCAAGTTGACACATAAAACTAACCAACGTACTTTTTTGTGATTCCTGCCCATGGACATTCTATCCACTGAAACCTTCTTTAACAGGTGGTATGTTTATGTATTCTCTAGCTTCCTCCAAAAGGCATCACAGTGTGGTAAAAGAAACATTATGAATTACTGATATTTGATGAATGTTCAACCTATTTTTTACTAACAAAAGGTAATTTCATATGATTCATCTTAAGACACGCCCTGCTGCCATGCTCTTATTTGAGATCAAAGCTAATATTATTGGTCTTATCCTTCCCATATGTGCACGCGTGCGCGCACGCGCACGCACACACACACACACACACACAAATGTTTCTCCATCCATTCATTTTCTCCCAGGGCATTGACCCAGAGTTATTTCCTGGCTATGACATTAGTTTTGCATGTATTAATTTATATTTGTTATGTATGTAAGTTTTGAAGGTATTTTTGCATAGCTTATACCTGCAGACTAAGGACTAAGACTTGCAAATGTCTTTGGGCAGGAAGAACAATTACTGTATACACAAATGGTACTTATGTATACTTCTAATCTCAAAACTAATTGTTAATTATTAATTAAGACCTTTTATCTTCATTGGAAGTTTTAAAATAAGAAAATACTGGCTAAGTTTAGCTTCCTCATATGAAATGCAAGACAATACTCAAACATTTATGAAATATAATTACATTTTCCAACCATTACTTTTCTATTAATTATTAGCTCTGGGCAAAACATTAAATCAAATACAGTATAAATTTGGCTGCTAATCTTTGCTAGTTTTCAAGTGTTTAGTCTTTGCCTTGATATATATAATTATAAGCCATAAGGAAGGGAAAAATTGAAATATTTTTAATGCATTGGGATACCATTTTGTTCTCTAAGTACACATTAGCTTAACCTTCCCACCCTCCAAACTAGCTCATTGCTAGAACAAACATTCCCTGAGCACTTGTGATGCACTGTGTTCAGTGATGTGGGACAATGAGGAGATTCATGGGAATCATATTCTGGATTCTAGCAGACTCCTTGACATTGTAACATGCCCATGACGTATTGGCTGGTAAGAATCAAAATGAAAACCTAGGTCTTGTGATTCTGGTTTAATCTTTCTTTTCTTAAAACTGCACCAACTCACGGAGTATTCAGTACCTGGCCCACCAGATATTAGAAGGCAGGAGGAAAGCAGTGTTTAAAAAAAGTTCATTTTTACTCTGGATAAGGGATAAAGTTATAGGCTTCAGACTCCCTAAAATAAGTTAAGAGTAGTCAATAAATAAAAGCGTGTGATATTTCATATCTGTATCTGCTTATTCGTTTAGTCCTCATAGTTTGGGGTAGGAAAGCTCTAAAGACACATGCTAGACCCTCCATATTTACTTATTTTCTGAAAATAATAAATATGTGTTAATGAATTACAAGGCCATTTGAAAGACTATATCATAGAGAATCATCTCCCAATTTTTCCCCCCAAAACAGAAGCTAGTTTTGGCATTGTTTATAGAAGATTTATAGGTTCCTGCATGTGTTGGGGGGGGGAGGGGGTGAAGAGAGAAGGAGGGAATGGAATATTAAAACAAGTATTGGACTAGTTTGTTGAGAGAGTCCTTGGTAGACAGGCCAAGAAAGAACAGTGACTACTGACAATTCCTTGACTCTGTTAAATAAGAACCTAGGATATTTAAGATTTCCATAATTATTCATATAGTTCCATAAAATGTAGTTGCAGCTTTTATAGGTATTAATGGAGCTTATTTTTACTTTTTGGCTATAATCAAAGGAAATTGGAATGCTTTACGATGTCAGAGAACATCTAATTAGAGTTGTTTTTTGTTTTTTGTTTGGAGGGAAGGGGGTAGAATCGTTAAAAGTAGCCTTCAAACCCGGAATAAGATAATGGAAAGTTATATTTATTTCACAAAGGGTAAAATTAATTTAATCGATATTAAATTCCATTGTTCAACCACAGTTTCAGGGGCTGATGTGGAAATCAGACATATTCCTGATAATTCCTATATTGGATTCCTTTAGCTCCATGGCATAGGCTCTACCACTTGAACTAAGCTAAAAGTAGGTAACATAAGCTTGTTTATTTTTTGACATATTTGCTGACTACTACTTCCTGAAAATCAGTGAGCTACTACCTTGGTAAAACACTTAATAGGGGTAGCTCCTTCAAAGTCAGCTCTGCTTGGGCTTCAAGTCAATGCTGTGCTTCCTGGCAGTAAGGATAAAAAGGAAATCAGAGTAAATTACACTGTTCTCATATTATACAAAAGAAGGCCACAAATTAGCTCTTCTGGAGAGAGAAAATCTGTCCCAGTAATAAATTCTAAAACATGTCTACTTAGTGAAAAAAAGAAAACATATTTCCTTACTGCAAATTTAAAGGATTATATAAACAGTTCAAATCTTTTTAAGTTGTGATTCCCAAGAAAAAAAATTACCTTAATGACTCCTCATTTGTCACCTCCAGAAACAAGCAATTTGAGTATTTCTTTTATTCTGATGTATTAGAACTTCATTAACAAGGAAGTCTTCCAAGTAGGCTATCATTTTTTGAGAAAGATCACACTGTGCTAAATAATGAGATATGGGAATACATTGAACAGCTTGACTTCTGCTGACTTTTACTTAAGAGTGTGAAGTGTTTTAAATTAGACTATGTTAGTATTGATGAACCGTGCACAAGGGGGAAAAATAATTTAAAGGCTTTGTTCCATTTTGAGAGCTAGATAAATTGTATAATTTAAAAATAAATCACTGTGACCTGGCAGTAAGGAAACAACAACTCTCATATGCTGTTGGAGAGAATGGAAGTGGGGACAACCTTTTTGGAAGGCAATTCAGTAATAACTATCAAATTTACAATGCGTTTATTCATTGATCTGGCTATTACATATACAGATTAGAATTTGCCCCGGGATAAACTTGTAAGAGTATACCAAAATAGACGGATAAGAGCATTCGTTGCAGTACTTTTGAAATAACAGAAGACATTACAAACATTACAAAACTAACCTGAATACACAACAATAAGAAAATGATTAAGTTAAGTGTGCATTCCTTTACCGGCACACCCTAAGCCATTAAGAAGTATAATGTAATTCTATATATATGCTGATATGGAAAGGATTCCAGGATAAATTGGTAGGTAAATATGTCAGATATAGACCTAGATTATACAGTAATTCCTCCTTTATCTCTGGGGGATACATTCCAGGACCCGCTGTGGATGCCTGAAACCATAGACATTACCAAATTCTGTACGTACTATATTTTTTCTTATACAATCACACCTAAGATAAAGTTTATTTTATAAGTTAGGCACAGTAAGAGATTAACAATAATAACTAATAATAAAATAGAACAATTGTAACTAGACTGTAATAAAAGTTATGTGAATGTGATCTCTCTTAAAATATTTTATTATACTGCATTCATCCTTTTTGTGATGATGTGAGATGATAAAATATCAATATGATACTGATATGAAGTGAGGTGAATGACATAGGCACTGTGACATAGCATCAGGCTACTACTGACCTTCTGATGGTATGTTGAAAAGGGGATCATTTGCTTCTCGACTGGGGTTGACCACAGGTAACTAAAATTGAGGCAAGTGAAACAACAGATAAGGTGGACTACTATAATCTCTCCTTTGTAATTTAAAAAGCAGAAATATCTACAAGTGTACGTAATATAGATATACTGATATTTATATCAATTTACATATCGAAGAGCCATATGCATCTTACCCACTGGGTGCTTATTTAGACTTCAAAGGTAAATATGTAAAGCATTGGCTTTGTCAGAGAGGCTCTAGTTAGGGGTGGATTGCTGGGTGCTTCTGTTTTTTTTGGTGTTTGTCTTTTCAATTTGGTTGGTTTGATTTTGGTTGGTTTCAATCGCTTTCTATACAGTTTGATTTTTCTAACCATGTACATTCGGTACATTCATTTTTTAAATATCAATGAGTGCTCTGAAGTCAGTATTGTTGGTCTTCACTTTTATATACTTCAAAAAACTATTAAATAATATTTTACAAAAGAAGAAAGCATTATTGTTGAGTTTACCAAGATCATGAAGCATGACAGATCTAGCACGTGAAGGCCTGCATTGTCAGGAAATCTACTCAAGTGGTCCGTGTTATATTCTCCTCACAAACAAAAGTCAGCTCCTACAGCCATCTTCCCCATCTTAAGAGTGCATCTGTAAGGTATGTGGAAGATAGATCTGTTCCATGCAGGTCAGTTGGAGACATCATATCTACCTCCCATCTGAGCAAGAAAATTTGAAATGAATTATTCCAATTGTTTTCCTATTCTGTTGTAAGAGAATAAACTACAACAGACACCTTTATAAACATGCATGATTTAATGGGTCTAACTTTGATGAAGAATGGAGAAAAAATTGGTTGCATATTTCCCATGGATCCTGTATTTGAACACAGCAAACACTATTGTGGAAACAATTCCAAAGAGAAACAATAGAATGACGGTTTGTTGCTCTTTTGAATTTTTTCAGATTTGCGACTTGTGGTGAGCCCCTCTGTGTGTCTGGATCAGAGCATACAGTTAAAGCTGAGCAATTCTAGTGACCTTTTAAAAACAGCAAAGCCACATATGTGGAAACCGTGGGACTGGCAACGTGGACAGCTGTAAGCTAATCATTTTGAATTGTTATATCCAGCATGCGTTTTTGGAGACAGCTAACAAGAGACAGCTAACTCCTGAAGATATCTAGGGGGTATTACACATTTGAATTATTCAGTTCTATTACATAAAATTTCAGCTATCTCTTCTTAATAAGAATGCCAACATTGATATTCTTCTAGACTAATTCAGACATTTCTTGCCAAAGAATAAACATTTGGGTAAGTAGGACTCTTACCTAGGAAGTTACATTTATGGAAAACTGAATTTGAAACCTTGACAATGTAAAATTATAAAGTTTTAACTTCCATTTTATACTCAAATGACATTGCCCTCGTCTCTGAGTATGACTGAATGATTTTTTTTTTTAGTTAATATATTTTTAATGGCCCTTAGGATCTAAGAAAGCAACTGCAGGGTACCAAGTTATTTAAATTTCCTCCAGGAAGATGATTTTGCAATGTAGACAAATTATAGTGAAAAATTAAGAGATTTTCATTATCTTATCCAAAAGATAAAATAGCTTACCTCGTCTAATTGTATAATTATTAGGTAGTATTTCCACAGTTACCAGTATTTATTGAAAAATCATATGCATCTCCTGTTTACCTACACTTTCAAAGGTTGAAATAAGGTCTTTTCATTTATCAAACTTAGATATATGAAACATAGAAACATCACACAAGGAGCAAATAGTTAAACATTTTGGTATCTTTTATGACAAAAGTATATTTGTTTCATCACAAAATAATTAGTGTTAATTTTCCTTTGTAGACTGAAGGGTTTACTTCATGCTTTATCCTTTAAATTAATCCAAATTATCTGTGGTGATGGTTGTCGGGTAGAATCAAACTACTCAGCAGTGTATGTTGGCATATTTTAGTAACATATTTTTGTATGTTGGCAATCGAGGGCAGGACTGGAAAATGTCAGGTTCACTGTTCCCTAAACTGTAATTTGTATCACTTTTGTAGTGATGGTACATACATGACCAATTTGCACTTTTTAAATCCTTAAACCTTATTTTAGGTATTTTCCTACCTTTCTTTCTTTAAAAATGTTTTTTAAATAAATCTACCAGAGTGGAGAACTCCTATCAATTTGATCTCCTCCCTCTCTCTGTTCCTGTATATCCCTTGGTAGTGATGCTAAGAAACAGTGGAATTGTAGAAGGAAACCCATGCAGGGAAGGCTGAAGTCTGACAAAGGACAGATTAGCATACAAAACTTCAAGGTAATTTACAAATGCATACCTTAAGTTATGGAGCACTAGCTATGCTGTTTTATTTTTTAGGAATCAAACAACAGTCCTTGCTCCACATGAAACAATCTTTAGAGCTGAAGAATTATCTGTGATTCTTAAAGCATATGTGTTGGTGACATCTCTAACCCCTTTGCGTGCATTCATTCATTCAACTGGCATGGTTTGGAATCCACCAAAGAAAAAACGCTTCACTGTCAAGGTAAAATTTCCATCAAAGCTGTTATTTCATTCGAAGTATACTAAAGATAAGTAAAGGGAGTTGAACTGCCTTTCTCTGACCTTTATGATTATCAAATCCCATTGAACAAAGATGGCATCATTTTATTGCTGCAAGTGGAGATTTTCATTTAATAGGTGCAGGCTCAAAACTGAACTGGAGGCAGCTTAATTCACTAGGGATCACAAAAGTTACATCTTGTTTTCTCAATTCATCTTTTTAGTTCAATTCTTTGACCCATTACAAAGCTAATTCTCAGCTGTATTCTGTTTTCTTGACTTTCCACTTATTCAAGAAAAATATACTCATTGCAACAAATGAAAATATAATTTTTCCCTTCTGTTTTTTTCTTCATTCTTAGGAAGCAAAGTACCTATTTCGTTACAATAGTCAATAGGGAATATTTGCTAAGTGAAAAACAAAGCTCTCAAGTGTGCCTAAGAGAGTAAGTCATGATATAAAGCATGATTAGAAAGTTTTCTGAGAAGCACTTAATAATAACTCCCCAAGAATTTAGTTATAAAAGGTAACTCAGGTTGCCTCCATTGAAAATAAGGTCTAGTGACAACATACTGGGTAAATGTTAAGAAGTTTCCAATTTTACACAAATAATCGTTCAGAGGACAAGTAAGAGGAAATGGGAAGAAACTGAAAGAACGCTCAAGTGCCTTAGCTGATATGTTCTTTCAGTTCCTTCCCATTTTTTCTTGCCTGCTCTCTGACCAATTATTTCTGTAAAATCAAAAATTCCTTCTAAGAACAAACACTACATGATCCTACTTATATAAGAATATAAATTTGTTAAACACAGGGCACCAGGGTGGCTCAGTCATCTAAGCATCCGACTCTCAATTTTGGCTCAGGTCATGATCTCACGGTTTGTGAGATTGAGCCCCCCCCCATCCAGCTCTGTGCTGACAGAGTGGAGCCTCCTTGGGATTCTTTCTCTCCCTCTCTCCCTGCCCTTTCTTTGCTTGTGCTCTTTCTCTTTCTCTCAAAAATAAACAAACATTAAAAAAATAAAAATAAATTGTCAAACTCACAAAAGCAGGGAGAGAATAGAATGATAGTTATCAGGGGTGGGGAGAAAGGGGAAATGAGAACATATTGATCAACTGTTACAAAGTTTCAGTTATGCAAGAGGAGTATGTCCTAGAGTTCTAGTATAACATTGTGCCTACAGTTAATAGTAAGATTTGCTAAGAGAATAGATCTTAAGTTAATAATACTAATATTTCTAAAAGAATCAATCTTATGTTAAATGTCCTTATCACTAAATAATACATAATGCATACGTACATACACACATACATACATATATACACAGGATGGGAGGTAAAATTTGGATGGGATAGATTTGTTTGTGGCTGGATTGTGGTGGTGGATTCATGGGTGTATTTATCTCCAAACTCATCAGATAGTATATGTTAAATACGTACAATTTTTTGTACCTCAATCATAATAAAATCTTTTTTAAAAAAGAATGTACAAGTGCCTGTCATAGTTTCAAGAGATTCAAAAGTAACTAAACCTGTTTTTTTCAGAATTTATTTTATATAAACTACATTGTAAATTCTGGAAAATCTTCCAATGGTGAAAAATCTTTAAATGACTCATTTAAATATTGTCAATTTAAAAAAAAGATCAGGATGATAAAAGCTGCAAATCCTATATTCCTTAGTAAAATAGATGCCTGACATTTTAAGGAAATAGTATTGATGACTTAAGTCTAAGGTACTTTATTTAAAGGACAGTTATCTTCACTATATCAACATAGGTGTTTTTTAGTTAATTATGAAAAAGTAGAATCAAATTTGGTTTACCTTTCGTGTCTTCTCCTGCTAGTCTTTCCAGTGGCTAAAGTTACCTAAGTACCTTTAATTATTTTCAAATTTCCCTTTTTATTAGGTTGAATTGTATGAAATTGCTGGCATTTGGCCATTTTTGACTTACAAAAAATTGCAGTTTCATATGATGCAACCTATTATTTGGAACTCAGGTACTGAGAGATTAAAGAATCATATTGATATAATTCATGTCACATTCACACATTCAACAAATGTTTACTGAGCACGGTCCAAAATCCCTGTCCTAGTAGAATCTGCCATTGGCGGTTGGTGCAAGACTCCCACATCTATCTGTATAATCTGTTTCATCCCCATTCCCTTGCTTCTCAGAAAGGCATTATAATGATTTAATGTGTATATTTTTGTCTAGATTATTGTAAAATATGCAGTTTTGTTTTGTTATGCATATATGTACTTGTAATTTATGTAAATTGTATTGTATTAGAGATTTTTTTCTTCTAACTCTTTTATGTAAAGCACTACATATTCTCAAGAAGGAAACACCCACATTATGTGTACACCTCCTGTGTTACTTCTCACCGATTTACTCTATTCCATGATGTGTTCCGTTACAGTTTACGTACCCACTCCTCCAGGGATAGACACCTTGATTGTTCCAACTCTTGGCTAATTGAAACGGGCCACAAATGCACAGATTCTTGTATTAGACACTTTATGAACCTGCATATATTTTTTCTGGAGAACATATGCCTATCATTGGACTTGCTACGTCATCAGCTATGGGTTCAGTTGAGACAATTAAATAATGCCAGCTTACCCTCTAGAATGCCTGTATCAGTTTCTGTGCCATCAGTTTCTATGCCATCATCAGTCTTTCCATGTCCCAGCAACCCACCCAACACTTGACCTTTCCAGCTTGCAACAGGTGAAAAGTAGGATCTTACTCTTTTGAATAGCTCCATTTGTCATCTCTCAGTTTCCTTTATCCTTGTTGCTCTCTGTTGATCAGAAATCTTTAGTTGATTAATCAAATTAAATTTTCCTTATAACTCCTGCTTTGGAGATTCAGTTCCAGAAGTTGTTTCTTATCTCTAAGTCACAGGGGTGACCTTCTTCATTTTCTTCCATTACCTTTATAATTTTTTCTGGACATACAAATATTTTATTAAACTAGAGTTCACTTTTGATCCAGATTTTTTTCCCTATATAATCAGTTCTCATGGGCTACATACTTATCACTTCCCATGAATATAATACCACCTTTAGTGTGTAAGTTTCTATTTGCATATGGAGCTGACTCTGAGCTCTGTTTTGTTGCAGTGGTCCAGCCGTTTTTATTATTTGACATTATACATATATCTTAGTACCTGGCTGGGAGGTTGCTCCCCTCTACTTTTTCTTTTCAAAATTAAATTAACTATGTTATAGACATTTATTTCTTCACAGATATTTTAGAATTCAAGTATATTTTTAATATCCTGTAGTAATTTCAGTATATAATTACATAAAATTTATTGATTAATTTTTGAGTAATATTATATATTATTGTCATTATTATTATATTCATAATATTATCTCTCAAGTCAGATTATTTTCTTTTTCCTTTATTAGAGTCTAAAATTTTTTCTCTAGAAAGATCTTGTATGGGGGTCCCTGGGTGGATCAGTCTGTTAAGCGTCCGACTTTAGCTCAGGTCATAATCTCATGGTTCGTGGGTTCGAGCCCCATGTCGGGGCTCTGTGCTGACTGCCAGCTCAGAGCCTGGAGCCTGTTTCAGATTCTGTGACTCCCTCTCTCTCTGACCCTCCCCTGCTCATGCTGTCTCTCTCTCTCTCTCTGAAATAAATAAAACATTAAAAAAAAGAAAGATCTTGTATGTTCTCACTTATGTTTATTTCTAGATTCCTTAGAATATTTGTTGATATTCTTTTTGAAATTATATTGTGTAGTTGGTTATTACTAGGATAGAGAAATACTACTTTTGAAATTGAACTTGTATTTGGTAAACTTGTTGCAATAATTTTATCATGAATATCATTGGGTTTGAGTTTTTAAGACAGATGATTATTTTATCTGCAAATAAAATCATGTTAATTTCCTTATTTACATAATTTTTAATGTTTTTTTGTTTGTTTGTTTGTTTGTTTTTTGAGAGAGAGAGACAGAGTGCTAGAAGGGGAGGGGCAGGGAGGGAGACACAGAATCTGAAGCAGGCTCCAGGCTCTCAGCTGTCAGCACAGCAGGGTTCAAACTCACAAACTGCAAGATCATGACCTAAGCAAAAGTTGGACACTTAACCAGCTGAGCCACCCAGGCACTCCCTAATCTCCTTTTTAATGCTTATATATCTTCTCTTTTTCTTTCTTTCTTTTTCCTTTACTAATTTTGATCAGAACCTCCAGTACTTTCTTTCAAGGTAGAAATGATAGTTAAGTGTTCTCAAATTGTTCTTCATCTTAAAAGGAATGTAACTCAGGCTTCTCTATTAAGTAAAATGCCTGTAATAGGTTTTTGGTTTTTAATCTTTACAATTCCTGCCGAAGTAGTGAGAATTATATAACTAGCCACAAAGTATCCATCCGTGTGTTACAATGATTGTAATATATGGATAGTTTTGTTTCATTTGTACCCTCTACACTCCTCTTCCCAGACAATAGTTTATTTTGAAACAAATCCCAGACATCACATGATTTCCTTTGTAAACCTTTTTAGAGTGTAGTTCTGAGAGAGACAGATTTATAAACTTTACGAAATTAAATAAGTTCCCTTTTGTTTTTAGTTAGCTAGGAGTCTTCACCATAAAAAGATTTTGAACTTTATAAATTCTTTTTCCTGCATTAATAAAATTATATGATTTTTTTCCTCCTCAGGCTTATTTAACCTCAATGGTTATTATATTGCTAGATTTTCTTTTAATAAAGCTTCCTTGAATCACTGAGATGAAACCTATTGATTATTTGGGGCTATTTTGCAGTAATCTGTTGGATTTGTTTAGTTAAGATTTTTATAAGTTCGTAAATGATATGGACCTATAATTATATTTTCTTGTGTTTCTCTTACCTCATGTTTAGAGTTGAGAGTACTGGATAAAATAGAACTGGAAAACTTTCACTCTTTCCATTTTACTGGAACAACTTGTATAAGATAGGAATCACCTCTCCTCACTGCTTACAA